CCTGTCAGGAACATCAATGGAACAGATAGCCTGTGAACCATTCTTACCATGAACATTGGGAAGGCAGGATCATGGCTTTTCATCTTGGGTCTTTCCCTTTGCTTAGTGTGATGTCTGAATGAACATGCAAATGTACATAAGCAAGAGACATATAACTGTCTTTCCTCCTCATTCTCCCAAACAGTCCTGTATCTTTTTTGTGGAAACCACACATTTGCATTGTGTAAAACCAGAACCAATAGGAGAAAGTTGTATTGAGGAAAGACTACATGTTTCTCTTATATACAGAACTTAGATTTCACCTTATGTGTGTGCAGGAGGGAGTTTATGTAGTGGGCCACAGAGGGAGAAAGTTGGGAGAGTGGAGGAAGAGATCTTAAACGAAGTGGGAAATAAAGTAATGAAATAAATGTAATAGGAAAATAGAAGGGAGAGCTAACTGGGGGAAGAAGGGTAACCAGTTGGAGGAGGCATAGGGAAGGACAAGAAAGGATAGGGGTGGGTGGCAATAAAGTATAGCACATGTACAAGGAGACACCATGATGATCCATTTATTATTTTATATGCTAACCTAGAAAATTAATTTAAAAGACAACATCAAATGCTCAAAAGAAGACATGCTCATTTTGCATACAAGTAAGGGCCTGACAGAAAAGAAGGTGGCTACCACAGGGGAAACAGGAACAACAGCAGCAGCAACACTGTACTGTGGGTTTGGAGAAATGGTTCCATGATTTAAAAGAGCAAAAACAAAAACAAAAACTTGCTGCTCTTGTGAAGGAATCAGATTTGGATTCTAGTACTCACTTCGTGGCTCATGTCCATCTATAACTTCAGTTCCAGGGGACCTGACACAGGCTTCTGGCTTCCATGAGCACAAGGTACACTCATAATACAAACATACATGCAGGAAAATATTCATATACATAAAATAAAGATATATCTTTAAAATCGAATGCACTAAAAAACATCACAAAGATCCAAGAAGCCTCGTTCCCAGCAACATCTCTGCATCTTATAACCCAACGCACTTTGGGCAAGTTTCATGTCTGAGCCACCCTTTCTATCTTTGAAGTGGGTAGGGTAAAATCTACCCCACAGGCTTATCAACAATAAGAATACACAATGAAAAAGAGAAAGTATACTGGTCCATGTCTGGAATAGAAAATGGTTCTGAATAAAATTCTATCAGCAAACAATAGTGGGTATCACTAAGTTGTTGATCATCATGGAAGTAAGCCGTTTACCATATGCTTCTGATATTTCTAATTGCATTGGGGAAAAGATGTGAGGAATGACAAAGTCCATTCACATGCTAGACCAGTGAAAGGGCTAAATATGAGGAGAGGGCAGGACAGTGACACATTTAGAATAACTGAAGCAATGAAGCTTCTTCAATGACAAAGGTGAAAAAAAATAACAACTGATGTAGAAGGTGCAAGCAGAAGAGACAACTTTCTACCCAAGCCTGTCGTTCAGGTTACTTGTTAGCACATGGGGTTAATCATCAGCTATAGCTAATGAACTATTTGCAGCAACTGATTAACTGATAACCCTTCTGGTGTCCAGGAATTTACCACGAAAAGCAGTAAAAGTAGGGTGGGAGAGAGGGAAGCAGAGGTGAAATGATAGGTGGGGAAATTTTAAAGAGGCAACTCTACTAGAGATTTGGCTAGGCTCTATCATGACCCAACCCATCCCAGTTTCGCCAAGGCTGGAGGCCAGAGGCTTTGAGGAAAACTGTACCACATCAGCTTGTTGCTAACTGATTTAAGAGGGAAAAAAAGTCTGGCAATGCTACAGCTCAGACTGAGAAAGCCTGGATGATTCTGGACAAGTCAAATCATTTCTTATAGTAACTGATGCCATTAGATCCTAGCAGTTGCTGCCAGCAGCCCAAAGGACAGGACTGTGAGGGAAGCAACAAAAGGGATGGCACTAGGATTGGGTTCTATATCCAAGGATGTTGGAGGCAGAACTGAAGTGGAGGGCTAAAAGTTACTGTGTGTGCTGAGCTGACAAGATCTGGCTTGACACTGGGCAGGGCCAAGTTAACCATGGGGGTAGAAGCGCAGTTACCCAACTTTCTACTTGGTTAATGTGTTGATCAATATATGACTTCTAAACTGAAGCAGATGTCTCCATAGATGTCTGGCCTTTCCTGGCTGCTCCCTACAAGAGGCAAATTGTAGGGAGGGAAGACAGGACAGAGGGAGAGAATTAGTAACATATCTCATCTTCTGATTATGAGCCAGGTATTTTGTTTGCTATTCCTTTTAATCCTAAAAATTCTTTGTAGGTGATCCTTTTCCCCATTTTAAAGATATAAAACCTAAGATACAGACATGGAAAATAACGTGAGCATGCAAAGGAGGCATACATTGGAGGCCCAAAGCAGAGAATTAGAAAGTGTTGATTGCTTTGTGGAAATCCTGCTGGCCTCCACACAAAACAGCATTTACTAAACTGCTCAAAGACAGTGCTGTCAGCATGTACTAAGGCTGTTCCCTACCACCAACAACAGAATGTCTTTCCTCTGCTTTATCTGGACAGGCTTATTCCCCCCCCCCACTGACCCTCTGCCTTCATGTATACTATAAAGTATCTCCCTTGCTCCCCATCCCTCTGTCTCTCTCTCTCTCTCCTCTCTAGAAGGAAATCTTTGATGCTATTCCAGTAAGTGTGAAAGGCCTCATGCACAATACGCACACCAACTTCCATCCCTGTCATTTCTCTACCCTCCTGTTTCCCAGCTCCTCACTCCACACTGCATTTTTCTTAATATGTGCTCTATCACTGTGCTAATAACCAGGAGTATATCTCTGATCAGGTGCAGTGGTACGTGCCTGTAATCCCAGCAGTCAGGAGGCTGAGGCAGGAGGCTATAATGAAAAAGGTTATAACTAGCTACATGTTGAGATCCACTATTCATAGAGACAGAAAAAAAACAAGCTTAAAATATGTAGAAAATACAGAAGAACATAGTCAAAACAATTGTCAGCAGAAGGAGCACAGCTAGAGAGTCATCACATTTCTTGACCTCAAATCAGCTACTAGGACAAAACAGACATACAGCCCAAGAAAAGAGAACAGAAGAAGCAGAGAGAAACCCACACAGCTATGGACTCCTAATTTCTGACAAAGATGTCAAAACATGTGCTGGAGAAGACACAGCCCTTTCATCTATTGACCTGATAACTACCTGAAAAATAATGAAATTAGTTTTTATATCTCTCAGCTTAAATAAAAATGAACTCAGAATAGATCAGAGACCTATATTTTAAACTGAAAACACTGAAACAACGGCTAAACACTTAAGGATATATCTATAGACAACAAACTTCTGAACAGGAAATAACCCAAGAACTGACAAATGGGACCATATGAACTTAGAGAGCATTTGTACACCACCACCAGCAGCACTACCCCCCCTACCACCACCAGCAGCACCACTACCAAGAACAACAACACATCAATAGAAAAAATAGCCTAGAGAATGTGGGAAGTCTTTATCAGCTAAAAGACATATAAGGAGTTAATATCTAAAATCAAGTTTTAAAATTTTAGAAAGTAAACCCCAATGAAACAGTTATTACTCCAAATATGGGCCAACAATTTGGACAGATACTATGGCAGTTTTAATAAAAGTAGCCCCCCATAGGCTCATATATTTGAATGCTTGGGAGTAGAATGCATAGGTTCATATATTTGAATGCACCAGGGAGTAGAACTGTTTGAAAGAATTACACAGATTACCAGGTGTGAACTTGTTGAAAGATGTGTAGACTTGTTGGAAGAACTGTTTCTCTGAGTGTGGGCTTTGAGGTTTTAATAGCCCATGCCAGACCCAGTCTCCCTCCCTGCCTGTGGATCAGGATGTAGGACTCTCAACTATATCTCCAGCATCCTATCTGTCTGTGGACTGCCATGCTCCCCACCATGATGATAACAGACCAACCTCTGAAAATGTAAGAAAGCCCTCAATTACATGCTTCTTTTTTATAAGGGGCTACCTTGGTCATGGTGTCTCTTTACAGCAATAGAAGAGTGACTAAGGCAGACAGTCTTCGAAGGAAGAATTATAATGGTCAATGAATGTATTTTAAAATGTTTAGCAACTCTGTCAGAGATATTTAACTTAAAACAACTTTGAGATCCCATCTCAACCAGTGAGAACGGCCACCATCAAGAAAACAATGTGTGGAAAGAGGAACACTTCCATACTGTTGGTGGGAGAGCAAGCTGGTGAAGCCACAATGGAAAGTAGCATGGAAGCATCTATAAAACCAAAACTAGAACTCCCTTTTTAACCCAGCTATAGCACTTCTGGACATAAACCCAAAGGACTCTCTATCCTGCCGCAAATATATCTGCATATCCATGTTCACTATAGCTCTATTCCTTATAGCTAGGCCCAGATGTCCATCAACAGATGAATGGATAATGAAAATGGGGTATGTATACATAAAGGGATTTTAGTTACCCACAAAAAAATGAAATAATTTGCCAGGAAAATGGATGGAAATGAAAACAAATTAGTTTAAGCCAGTTAACCCAAACTCAGAAAGAGAGTGGCAGTACATTGTCTCTCATATGTGTATCTTAGTTTCTGACTATAAAATATATCTACACTGGTGGCAGGAAATAGAAGTAGAGGGCAGGAAATGCCCAGTGACTAAAAAACAAAAGATGCTCTAAGGGAGTGAGTAGGGAAGACAATAGAGTAAAAAGAAAGGGGGAATGCTGAGGGGAAAAAGATACTGTAAGGAAGGTGTGTCAAGGAGATGAGGGACATGGGATGAGAATCAACTGAAATGAAATGTGTTTTAGAGTCTCATCCTGAAACCTACTAACAACTTTGTAAACTAACTTAAAATTTTTAAATTAAAAAAGTATGATGAGAATAACAAGGAAGAAAGGTGCCTCCAACCCTAGAAAATTAGCAAGCTGTAGAGTACTTTGGTTCAGTTCTGCTTCCCATAGGATTCCTAAACATTTACCTTCCTTATTGTGAACCACTGGCCTGGGAGCTGGTCTCCTTATATGGAAAGAGGAGATCTTTGTGTGTCCAGAACCTGGAACAGGTCCATTGGAGGCCTTCGGAGTAGCCTTGGTCCCTCCATCCTGCAACCTAAATACCAACTTCCCCACATCCGCCTCCAGGCAGGGCTCCGACTGACAGTCAGAAACAGGTCTGCTTGGGGACTTTCTTCCAGGATCAGTGTCCCCACTTTTCTGCATGGGTAGTTTGAGGTGCTGTAGTAGCTTGGGGGGATCCAGGTTGCTAGTGATTGTACCATTAGGAGTTTGATGGTGAATTCCATCTGAAAAACAGTTGGTACATAAAGGAAAGATTAATGATGGCCTTCAAAATTATTCTGTTTTGATACATGCATATATATATTTGATCTTAAAAAATCAGTACGCAATTTCAAAATTGTTATTATTAGAGTACAAACTGAGTACATCCCACGAGGACAGTCTCCACCTTGCCCAATTCCTATAGTCAGAAGTCTCAGTCAAATAAAGTTCAATTTAAGATTTCTATATGACTTTCACCAACACAACTAAGTAAACTCTAGTAATGCCAACCTGCTTTATTCAAGGGGATATGTAATTCAAAAAGGACGGAATGCACAATCAATTGCATAATTTACTCTTTCTAAATAAATGCATGAACTAATTCTCAAGTAGGTCTCTTAAAAGCAATTTTTAAGGTTTCTCAAATTTCAAGTTAATAGGCCTAACAACTTAATCTTTTTCTCCATCATGTAAAGATATTCTCAGATAGCCAATTTACATTCTTCCTTTAGTCTTTTGTGGTCCATAATATCCTACGACCATTGGAATAAGCTTTTAAGTGATTCTGAATATAGTTATATCTTCTGAGAACACAATAACAGCCAGAGAATCTTTTTCTAGAAAAATAAGTCCACACACTTAGTTAAGTTTTGAAACCTTTAAGTTATTCGCAATTTCCAGAAATAATCAATAAATTCCCCAGATTAATAATATCTACTATATGGAAATTGTCACTTTCATTAATAATAGGAAACATAGCCAGGGGTAACAGCCTAGTGATAGATCACTTGTATAGAATGTGCAAGGCTATGGGTTCCTTTTCCAGTGCTACAAAAGATAAATAAAAACAGACATGTAAATAAAGCTATATTAGAGTATAGTAGTTAAAGATAGTCTCTCTTCAGTAAAAGGAGACATATTCACCAGTCATAACACAAGGACCCTACTTGGAACCTGCTTTTTGTAATGAGACAATTGAAAAACTGAACATTGACTAGACAACTAGTCTTAAGGAATTACTGTTCTGCTTTCTTTTCATTTAGATATAATTATTATAATGATCATTTAGAGTTACTTGAACTCTGGCTGAGAATGGATGGAAGGTATACATGAATCAAAATTGCTCAGACAAACACTAGCTTGGAGGAGTAAAAAAAAATCATGGTTTGTCTAAGAAAATATTACATGATACAGAGCAGATTATGTTTACAAATATACATTTATATGTTCATATATATTCACATTTATATTCATATTTATGCATGTAATAACAATCAGTGAAAAAGGAGGCTATGAATTTGAAAGAGAGCCAAGAAAGGTCTATGGGAGGCCATGAAGGAAGGAAAGGGAAGGGGAAATGCTAGGTCACATAGCAAGACCCTGTATCAAAAAAAACAGATTTAGGATGGCCAAGGATTTGATATAGGCTATCAAAGGGTATATGATCATGGGAAAATAATTTACTAAAATATTATTTACAAACAAAATATAAATTTGGAGATCAAATAATAAGATGCAACTTGTCAAGAAAAATGGTGTTGAGGCATATATATATATATATGCATGTTTTAAGAAATACAATGTTACATTTAATAGGCAAATGTGATTTGAGATGAAATGGATGAGTGCAAATTACTGTCTTCTAATTTGGTAGTGGTGTCAACTGGACGAATCACTTACCTTCCCTGAGCTTCAAATGACTTCTTTATATAATGAATCTCAGATACCTACCTCATACTATAACAATGAGGATTATATGAGATTATAGGTTTACAGTAACTTAATATGCCCAGAATGAAGAGGTCAGACTATATAACAAGCACTGACTAGAATATGAGAAATTTGAGCCACCATTCTTTGCTGGTAAGAAAATAAAATTATACCCCAGCTTTGTAAATTAGCATGGTCACTCTCTAAAAGTTTAACTTTGGAGTAAACATGAGTCAGCAATATACTCAAGATGACTGAAGTGAGACATTCACCCAACAATTTCAATATTCATTCGCAGTGTTATTCATAATAGCTAAAACACAAATACAATTTAAATGTTCATTCATTGAAGAATGGATAAACAAAATGTGAAATACTATGTAGCAGTAGAAAGTATATATACAGCGAATTGTTTGCTAGCCATAAAAGACTATACAGAATATGAGTCCATTTATATGACATTTTCAGAGTAAGTTAAGTCTCTAGGAATAGAAAGTACTTGCCAGAAGCTGGCAAGGAGGAGGAATAGGAAGGTTTCCTTTTAGGATAATATAAATATTTTCAAATAAGGTGGTTGCACAAAATACACTATACTGAGACATGAAAACGGTGGCTTTTGTGGGTTTGGCATTATTTATCAATCCAAAATCCAAAGTTTGTGGGTTTGGCATTCTTTATCAATCCAAAATTAAAACCTCAGTGTGTAGTCTGTAATCTCACTGAAAATCTGGCACAAAGCCCTTACCACAGAACAAGACAAATTGAGCCCCAGATAAGGCAAGTGGCTGATTCAAGCTACTTAACAGACTAATGACCAAAATAAAATTAGGCCTTAGCTCTACTGACCTCCAGCTTATTCATTTAATATACTTGTTAACTCGGCACTTACTATGTAGCAAGTGCTGTGCTGGTGTAGGGGATAGAGTCCTAAAAATAAGTATCTACTAGTATAAACTTTGATTTGGGAAAGTTGTGAGCAAATTTATTCTATAAAATATCAAATTTGGAGTAGCAAAACATTCAGTGCCCCTGTTCATTTTCCATTTTCTATTCCTTCTCTATGAAAGTGATCCCTTATGCTAAATAATCCCTTTCTTTTCATATTCCTAATACATCCATTCATTCACATTATAAACGTGTACTAAACACGTACAATATGTAGTAGGCATTGTCCTCAGATGGGGTAATAAAAATACATCTAATATTCTTATGAGAAAAATAGATACTAAATATGTCATCAAGTAGTAGCAGGTGACATGAATAAAGGAAAGCAGTGTAAGGGATAGGAAGGAATAACTTTTTAACTTGAGTGCTCAGAAAAAGTCTCTACAAGGAGATAGCATTTGTAAACTTGACACCCATTAGGAATAGCAAGACTCATGAAACTAGAGGAGAAATAGCAAAGGAGACAGAAAGTACATCGAGAAAGTTCAGATGGATAAGCAGGGGTCACAGAAAACAGCATAAAAAACAAATTTTATTCAAAACATGAAGAGAGGTCACTGAGAGTTTGGAGCCGAGGGAATGAGGTCATGTGCTTCACATTTTTGAAAGGATGCACAATTTACTGACGGCTTCGGAGAATGGATTAGAGGCAGTCAAGCAGGCCAGCGATGACAGCTGGGAAGAGGTGTGGAGGCTCAGTGTGTGTGGTCCAAGGGAAACTAAGGATTTAACATGTGATGTGCAGCCACAGCCAGAAGGAATCACTAATGGATCTGATGTAAGAGGAAAAGGAAAAGAGCCAGAAGGAAAAGACCAAGGTATTCAGGTGACTAGAGCTAAAAGCTGTGTAGAAGAAGTGTTCACAAAATGAGGGTCAGAAAGAATAGGTACTCAAGCATTGTGCTTTGGGCTGAGGAAGGGGTGTGCAGCTTAGTGACAGAATGATCACTTGTCATTCATTGTGCAAAGTCCTAGAGTCCAGCCACCACACTACAATATAATACAACCTATGCTCAATTCATCTCAATGAGTCAATCTATAGAGAACATTTCAATGGAGACTTGGAGATGACAATAAATAGGAGAATGAATCCTGTATTGAAAAATTTGGGAGTCACCTGTAGCAATTACATCATATTTACACATAGGAGATTTAGAAAGATTGTGTATAAAAAAAAAGCATAGAGAAGAGGGTTAAGACCTTCGTGGTGTTCAAATATATCAAAAGTAGAACAAGAATCAAAACTAGAAAAGGAGGCTGCAATGGAAGGAGGAGGAACAAACTTGGTGACCTAAGAGCCAAGTTTAGTGCTCCACAGGAGAGACAGGTGTTGACTGTCACATGTGGCTCACTAGCTCAGAAGAATAGTGGAGTATTTGGCTTGGTCATGTGGAAATTATGGGTAACCTTAATAAAAGTAGTCTGAGTGGCAGGGAACTAAGGCTCTTCACTAATAATCATTCCATTGGATGGTGGTGTTTGTTTGTTTTTGCATAGCTATACCTTTCTCTATCCTATAAGCTCCATAGAGGCAGGGGCATGTGGCATAATTTCATTTGGCCTCTAGAATATTAATATTACTTGGAACATAGCAGTTATCCAATCCACTTGAAATACATTCCCAGAACATTAGCAAGAGCCTTCCTCATGTATTTCAATGTACTAGAGTAACCCAAGAATAACTTAGTTTTACTGCTAGCCTTATAGGGATCATGTAGCTTCTATTAAAGACTCACCCCTGCCCTGTCAACTGCCAATAATCTAATTTCCTCTTACAATATGAACTATAAGCCTTGTTTCTCCTGACTATTTACAAGCCGAAGAAGTAGAGAAGGTCCATCATTGTATGGAGCAAATAGTCACACTTTCATCTTTCTCCTTCAATATTTTCTTTGCATGTAATCGTAATGCAGAAGCTAACCACTGACCTTCAGTTTCATCCAGGGAAGAAGTATAGAACACTGTCTTTTCTCTCAGCAAGCGCTTTGAGATTGTGATTGGTTTATGTCTTCTTGCTGTCACGCGAGGTGGAGGCACTGGAGGTACTTGGCTATCTTCGGGTGGACCTAAATAAATCTGTAGAGAAAGAACGAAGATATCCAAGAGACAATTAGCCAAAGGACTCATGGATGCATTCCAGCAGTGTATCTGGTCAACCATGTGAATACTAAAATGGATAATAGGAAAGAGGAAATTTTCTTACTCCCTCTAACTACCAGCAAGTACTAGATGTCTCCCATCATGAAGAGTGCATAGCAAGAGTGCATAGCCCCTTAGTGTGGAGAAGTGTGCAAAGAAGAGGCAACAAGCATTCCTGGATTTTATACTTGCACTCAGCAAAACTTCAGGTTAAGACATCTACCTTTGAGCCTAAGCATCCTCTCTCAATTGGAATATGAGGATAACAGCAATTACCCAACATGATGTGATAAGAATTAAGTGAAAATGGTTGTCAAGCTGCTTTGTATGGGTAGATGTGAGGGTAAAGGGCTATTAAACACACTCATGTGTGTGCATATACACATACATGCATACATACATACATAATACATACATACATACATACTCAATATTTCTGAAAGGACATTTAAGGATCTAGGTCAATTGTTTGTCTTGAAGCTGATGAAGGAAGAGAAGAATGTTGGTTTTATCTCATACTATTTTGTTCTCCTACAGAAGATTTCATACTATGGCATGTTACTTATTTTTAAAATAGAAGTAAAATAAAATTGAAAATTCCAAGTGCCTTAGATCTTATTCAGAAGAGGAGCTGGAGCAGCGCAAGAGCATGTGTGATCAGAATTGTTAATAGGTGGAATGGCTACGTAAAAGTGGGGAAGTTAATAGGAACATTGTATGTAATTCACAGGCAACACACATTACAAGGTTGAAAGAAAAAGAAAATAAAACAGTAGTAAGTGGATGAATGTTGAGCCACGGAATTCTAGGTTGTATATTTGGTTCTCAACAGCTAGCTAGATAGTATGTTTGCAAGCTTCTGCCCCAGTACTATAATAGCTACAAATATCCCTTATTATACCGTATTATACCATAACTTTTGCACTGACTACTACATTGTGGGTGATATAATCCCTGGGCTGGTGGTCCTGGGTTCTATAAGAAAACAACCTAGACTCCCTACATATATGTGGCAAATGTGCAGCTTGATAGTCATGTAGTTCCCCTGAGAAGAAGAATGGGTGCTATCTCAGTCTCTGTTTCCTGACACTGGACCTCCTTCCCCCGTCCTTGGACTGCCTGGATGCCCTCAGTGGGAAACGATATGCCTAGACCTGCCGAGACTAGAATTCCTAAAATGAGGTGATACCCCAAGAAGGCACTCTTTCTCTGAGGAGAGAACATGGGGGCAATGGGGAAAGGGATTTGTAAGGGTGGAACTGGGAAGAGAGGAGGGAGGGGAGCTGTGATTTTGATGTATAGTGAAAAAAAAAAGAAAAGAAACTTGAATATACTGTGTGGAGCAAGCCAGTAATCGGCACCCCTCCATAGCCTCTGCATCAGTTCCTGTGTCTGGGTTGCCCCGCCGTGTGAGTTGCTGTCCTGGTTCCCACTGATATTGAACTGTGATATAGAAGTGTAAGACAAATAAGCCCTTCCCTTCCCATTTTGCTTTTGGTCATGGTGTTTCGTTACAACAATAGTAACTGTAACCAAGACAGGTCCTTTCTTTTCTTAAAAGAAACCGCCACACCAACTTCCATTATGACTACACTAGATTTTAAACTTTGTAAAAGCAAGTCTACTATGTTCACCACTGTCTCAGACACCCATGAGAGTACCTTGACCTGGTGTCTCAGAAATCAAGTACACTATAAATAAGACACACAAGGCTAAGTGCCCCCACCTCCAGAAAACACCATTTCAACTACCTCATTCTAAGATATGGTAATTGGACCTTAGTTTCTTTTAGTCTGACACAAGAAGTAATAAAAGAAAAGAAAAGAAAAGAAAAGAAAAGAAAAGAAAAGAAAAGAA